GCTCAAAAACCAGACCCTCACGCCTGCCCCCCCCGGTGCTAGGGGACGGTTAGGCCGGGGGGATGCGGTATGTTCTGGGAGGCTGCACAACACCACGCCTGCAGCGTCTCCCTGCTAGGCATTTCTCTCTATTGCTGGCCTACTTCCTACAGCACTTCCGAGGGAAGGAGCACACCAGTTTCTCCTCCAGTGTTTTTTTCTGTATCTTAATCCTGTTAGTGTTTTTTTCTGTATTTTAATCATGTTAAGGTGCTTAATAAAAACAGAGGGAGATGATACTCCTAACCCAAACTGATTGCTTAAAGTGTTAGATTACGGGGTTGGTTCAACTAATCTTGATTTATAATTACTGCAGAGGCCCACTTTCCCCAGGAAGAGCAAAGATGCAGAGTGGTGATTTACACGTGTCACTTAGAGATGATATCATTTGATTGTGCCCAAACAGAGAAAAGAATTGAGTCCTGGTCTCCATAGATAAGTAATTACTTGAAACAGCCAAAATATTGGCCTTGAGCACTTCTTCAAGTGTGGTCCCCTCACTGGGATCCCCTTGTTTCATAGCCATGGTGGTATCAGGTCATCCAAACCCCCAGCTCAGGGTAAGCAGCAAGGCAGAGTGAGCTGCTGAGACCAGGCCCACCTGCCTGGGGCTGCGCCAAGCACCAGCTCTGCAGCAGTTCTGCCCCATGGGAGCAGCCCTGGTAGGGTTGTGAAGGCCTTACCACTCAGCTACAAGGCAGAATATAAGCAGTTGCAGTACTCTTTCCCTTTTCTTTCTTTATTAAAAAAAACAAACCAAAAAACCCAAAACGATCCCCTTCCTAGTTCTTAGACAAACAGCAGTTGCAGCACTGTTTCCCTTTTCTTTCTTTATTTAAAAAAAACAAACCAAAAAACCCCAAACGATCCCCTTCCTAGTTCTTAGACAAAAACGTTATCAGCATCTTCTCTCCAGAGAAAATAGAGAATGAGGAGTCCCAAGAGGAAAAAAAAAAACCTCCAACCCTTCCCTGGAGGGCTTGAAGATGCTCCACTCCATGGAAGAACGGATTTATGAAACAGCATTTTCTACCACACAGCTCCTTGAGCAGTGCACAGCTTGCTCTGGATCTCACCCTGAAGGGATTAGCTCCTCAAGTACTGTATGACTTGTATAGCTTACACATTTTTCCTTGAATGAAGTACACAGATTTATCTTTGGGGATCAAGAACCTACAAATAAAAATTCCACTGCAGCACCTGGCATCACATCCTCACATTTAGTCCTTAGTCCCTTTCCTCCATGTTTCCGGTCAGGGGTTGCTCTGGATCTCACCCTGAAGGGATTAGCTCCTCAAGTACTGTATGACTTGTATAGCTTACACATTTTTCCTTGAATGAAGTACACAGATTTATCTTTGGGGATCAAGAACCTACAAATAAAAATTCCACTGCAGCACCTGGCATCACATCCTCACATTTAGTCCTTAGTCCCTTTCCTCCATGTTTCCGGTCAGCTGAGCGCCGTGACTTCCTGCCCAGGAGCCACGCTTCTGTCAAACGTGGTGTGAGGACACGGGCACAGACCTCAAGGTTAAACTGGCAGCATGACTAAAACTTTGGTGTTGCAACTCTGGTATGTATTTATTCAGGCCGACGATAGACAGCTTCTCAACCATTATCCGGGGGGGTGGGGTGGGAGGGGTGGGGGTGTATCTATCTATTTAGGGGAACAGAGAAGTCAATTTTGAAATATTTGCAAGTACAAGTAAGTTTTGTAGTCTTCAAGTGTTCACTGAGTAAGTAGATTCTCGGCTTGATACTATCTGTACTTGATACTGTCCTTGTATCAGAAAGTAGCATAAAGGAAATGTAAATGGGCTCAAGAAAGATCACCCAGTTAACACTGTGACATAAGAAGGATTTCCTGCTGGGCTGCCAAAGGTTCTCTCACCCCACGCTCAGCACTCAACGTGCTCTTCGAACAGCCAGCTCCTTGTCAACATACCAGCTGAATGTGAACAGCTGCTGATGGTGGAATGCCCTAGCATTTGTAACTATTATCTAATTGCAGTCTCTCAAGAACTCCGTAATTATTCTCTCACTTCACAGACAGGGAAAGCTAAACAAAAATTAAAGGGGCTCATTTAAGTTTCTAGAGGATGGGAAGATGAGTAGGCATAGCCTACTCCATCGACTTCTGCATTTCTCCAGCTGTGCAGAATGAAAAGAAAAAAAAAAAGTACAGCATCACCACAAATTCATCAACTTTACACTTACTGTCACATCATCCAGTCACAGAAGGTGCAATTCATCTCAACTAACTTTAATATGAGGGTGATTTTTAGATCTGATATGGTCAGTCTCAGCTCCCTTTTTAGTCAGCAGAGAGAAACTGGCATGACTGATCTAGCCCAGATGTGCTAATCAGAAGGAGGTGAATCACACCCTGTAATCACCTGCGTCTCTTCAGTGACTGTAAAACAACAAGCTCAGATCCAAGCACCTGTGTTCGGTTGCACAAATGCCATCCTCCATTCTGAGCAGGAATAAGGACACAGCTACCAGTCACTGGCCCATTCTCTTTTACACTGTCATGGAGGGCGACATCAGCAAAGATTGGGTGCTTGTTGAAAGCTCAGGAAAGCATTACGGCTGCAGTCAGCTTGTCTAATGCCGCAGCTGAAAAAATGAAACAAATAAGATGGGGCTATTGAAAACAAACAAACTACTGCTTAAGATAAAGACCTTATGTGTGCAGTTCTTTTTTCTTCAGTCTTACACTAAAGCTGATGCCGAATGCTTTTGCAGCAAAAGCGATAGAAACACTGCAATGACAGGGAGATTCTTGAAGGTATGCTACCTAGGAAGTGACACCCTTCATCTCGGGCAAGGCAGGACAGCTAACAATGAAGCCGTTCTGCGCTTTGCAGAAGAAGTGAGCGTTTGCGGCAATAAACTTACTCCAGATATATGTACGTATGTTTTTATGTGATACTCTATTGGAAGCTAGAGGTCATTACATCATCTCTGATATGCAGGAGGCGGGGTGTTTATACTCACTGTCCTTTTGGTGCCACCGCACTGCATGCAGAAACACACCGCAGTAGTGAAACATGAACTCGTGCCCGGAGTGCTGAACTGTCCCCCGCAGCAAAGGCAGCAAGGTGCGCCCGTCGATTACCCTAGTGGAGAGGACAGGAGTCACCAGACTGCTTAAGAATTTCAGTCTGCAGCTGGAGCGTGAGCAGTACTCACTCTCCATGTATGCAGGATTTCAAGTGTCATTTCTAAACCAAGCTACTGTTTAGCTAATGAGCCCTCAGATTTTTAATTGTGTGGATGGGTGGAGACCAGTGATTAGCAGTTACTAGCAGTTTTTGCAATTACAGCTAGTTCACACATCCTGCCTCGGGAGATAAGTCACCATTACTGTAATTTTCCTGGAAGTAAGTGATAAGCATAGTGAAGGCATGGATCACAGCTTTTAATTTTGCTCCCCGAAATGGAAGTCACTGATAGCTCTGTGAGCTCGAGGCTTCATAAGAAAAAAAAATTAAAAATTGACTAACAGTTGGTTTAGTTACACACCACCAGTGCTTTTATGCTTTTTGCTCAAATGGCTTAGCCACCCATGCTTTCTTGTGTTCTTTAGAGGAGTCTAACATAGATGCTACAAATTGTTTGCTATCGAGGAAGCTACTTCTCTGGTGCTGGCAGTCAAATGCAGGCCATGTGCTCCACCTTCCCTACTCATGAAGAACCAGGCTTCCTAGTCTTGGCAAGGGCCTGTCCTAGTACTCCAAGAGGACCAGCCAGCTTTGTGAATATCTGTGTCTGCAGACAAGATGGGGAAAGCTACACAGGAAGCAAGCTAAAGAATTGGCTGGTTAAGAAACAAACAGAATTTAACCTGTGGCTGTTAGGATGCATGACATGTATAGTCAGCATCTATCTAAATCAAGAAAGGGGAGCAAATATGGTTTATGAAGCCACCTTTGTACCTGTCCTGAGGCACTGCCCCTCCAGCGAGGTGAACCACTGTTGGGAAAACGTCCATAAGGCTTGTCAGTTCATTGATAACTGTCCCTGCAGGCAACACTCCTGGCCATCTAACTATTCCTGGGACACGGATCCCTCCTTCCCAGCCTCCCATTCCTTTTCCACCTGTTAGAGGGGAGAAAGAAGTACCAAAAAAGATAAAAGAACGAAAGATTGTTAGACATTTATTATGGATGTATAAAAAAAGGTTTTAAAACTTTCAGAATATTCAAATAACTTTAATGAAAACACACTAAATCCTGGAGAACAGTAGAATGACTACAGTGCAAATTCCATTCTTCAAAAGTAAGTATTATGAACCTCTTTATTTTACGCTGCTTTCTTGGGTGGCACATATGGCAACTAAGCAGTATTTTTGGCAGAAGAGGAACAATTCCACCCTTTGACACCTGAGAAGACATTCTGACCAATAATTTTATTCTCAGACATGACATTCAATTAATCTCCATACTCCCTAATAACACGCACAAAAGTCTGTTATTAATAAAAAGCAAAATCTGTCTTGGAGTCAATGAGAGGTTGCAGCCCCACTTGGTGCCTGAGGAAGGGGGATTAACACAGGGCAAGCTTGGTTGTCAGACAGTTCACAATCAGAGGCAGCAGGAACATTACGAAATGATTTGCAGTCCTGGAGAGCAATGAGGGGAATTAGGATAATGTGTGATCGCCCTCCAGGAATTTACTGTCCCAGGGATGCTCTGAGGTGGTCCCAGACTGAAAAGTGTGGAACCCGTGCAGTAAATAGGGGAGTACTCTGAATATGCTGCAGTGATGAAGACTTTCCACCTATATGTCTGTTGAAGTTGTCCTGAGGTAATCCAAAGAGTCTTTCTTAACTTGGTTTCTCTTGCATTCCTCTAGTCCTCTAGTTCCACCATGCAGTTGGCTCTCTTATGAGTCAAAATATTAATTGTTTTGAATAGTATTTCAAAGTGAGAACCATTCATTAATTACAGAAACAAATATGGGGATATTAATGAAACAATGTGGTTTAAAGCCAGAACTCCAAGCTGAGAGTCCAGTTAGAAAAAAAAAAATATTGCAAGTTGTTGAAGCTCAGGTACCTATATGACCTTTGCTCTGTTAGGACCCCCTCCTATCAAGGGCAGAAATGACAAGTCATTGCTGGAAAGTGTTATAGGAAAATTGGCAAACAAAACTTGAAGCTAGCTTATTAGCTCAGCTAATAAATCAGCAGCTGAATGGGAGCTTACACTAGCCTCTGGCTTGGCTAAGTAATGCTGGACTTTTTGCTATAGAGGAGGTGTGCTCATAGTTACAGCTGAGAGGCAAGGTTCCCAGAGCTTGGTTTTAAAGGCTGACAAGGTGGCACGATGGATTATAAATGGGGCAAGTCCAGCTGCTTGTGCTATAACCTTTGTGCTACGTAAGAAAATGGTATCTCATGCTTTGTTACTCACTAGCGGCTGTTCTCATTATTCATATTCATGGCTTATTTATCTTCTTGTTTTTAATATCCTGTTAGCAATAGCAGCAGAATTTTCTACAGATATTTATGAATTAAACTAATGTTTTAAATCTTTTTTGTGTCGTTGCTAGTTAGTTTCACTGGGATGTCCCCTGTTCTGCTGTATGCGGACATAAATGGGAATGCCTTTCTGTTATTAGTATCTAACCTGATATTCTATCTCCTCTTGTCTCCTCTCTAAGCAGGCATAATTTCATCATTGTCCTCTCATACCGAAATCTCTGTCTAATCACATTCACCTTTCCTCTCCGGACTCTCCTGTTACTAATATACTTGTGTTAGGCTAGTAGAAATGAATTCCCTAGGTTAGGTTCATGAGCTATTCAAGTGAGCCCGTTGGCCTTTTTGCATCTGTTTCTGGTATGGAAACTTCATATCCAGAACTGAAGGCTAATTTAGCATTTAGGACTGTTCCTGGATGAGATCCCAGCAGTATCAAACATTGCTTGCGTGGCTCATCAAGTAACTTACTACTAGGCAATGTGCATTTTGATGCTGAGCAAGATCAAGGCACCCGAATCTTCTTCTGTAGGGAAATAAGTGATGGAAGCAGTTTTCAGGCTTCCTTATACAATAACTGCTAAGCTGCCCAAGCTGTCACAGTGGCTTTTTGAGTCTTGGCAGTCTGGAGGGAGCACATGCAAGAGAGAGATAACCACAGATCTTCATTTCCATAGAGCTTTTGACACTGTCGCAAGCCAGTCATAGAAAGAGAGTCTAGATGAAACATCTATATGATAGATGAGAAACTGCAAAACTACATCAAGAAAATAGTCTTCATGATATCTGCCAGTGTTGACATAGATAATTGTCTACTGTGAAAAACAGAAGGATGTTTCAGGTGAGACTCCAAACAGCGTGTTCGGGATCTGCGTCAGGGGGAGTTCAGATTGGACATTAGGAAAAGGTTCTTCACTGAGAGGGTGTTTGGTCATGGGAACAGGCTCCCCAGGGAAGCGGTCACGGCACCAAGCCTGGCAGAGTTCAAGGAGTCCTATGGTTTAGTTTTAGGTAGTCCTGCGAGAAGCAGGGAGTTGGACTCGATGATCCGTATGGGTCCCTTCCCACTGAAGATATTGTATGATTCTATGATGCTACAACATTTTCAAGTAGTGCTTTGGGTTATGGATTAGATAGCATGCTTACAGTATTTAAAGACAACATGGAACTAGAAGGGGGTACAAGCGTACTGGAGTCTAAAGAAAGGATGAATGAGAGGGAACATAACAGCATTGAAATACATGATGACCTTGCAACAACAGGCTGTTGCAAGGAGGAAAAGAAGAATCTCTTCTCTGTAGATTGGTGAATAGGGCAAGATCTGTTGCTCAAAGTGCAGCAAGGAAATCCAAGGTAGGTACCAGGAAAAAAACTCCAGTAGCACAGACAATGAAAACTGGATTATCTGGGAAATCACTGAAGGTCTTTAAGAATAGGTTAGAAAATATAGCTGTTGAGGAGTAGCTTTGGTGACAGTGATCCTGTCTGGGGGCTGAAAGATGCACAGCTGATGCCCTGAATTTGCTCCAGCCCTACAATCCAAGATTATCATCCCAGCTCAGTAAATATAGTCTATCATTTTATTTTTAAGATGACGTCTGTACACACTACCAAAATTTTACCTTTATAGATCCCATTCCATCCACCCAACTGAGCATTTCCTCTGTGAGCCTCTAAGGATCCTCCATGATCAGATGCAAAATAAATAAATGTGGTATTCTTCAAGCCTTCTTTGTCAATAACATCCAGAAGCCTGCCTAGAAACAACACAAAACATCATAATTATGTCAGATTTTTTAGGTCTTGACTCAAAATTCAGTGAAGACTGAGTCTTTCCATTTACCTGAACGAGTTCTGTTACGAGCTACCACAAGCAATGCAAAGAGTAATCCTGCATTACAGAAATAATAAGAGCCCAACAGAAAGCTGCTGAATGTGTCCAAAATTTGTTTGTGGTGTCTATGAAAACAGGAAAATAAAAAATAAAACCAATTGGAAAAAAATTAAATGAATGATCCTTTTATTCAAGCTACTCAAAATACTTGTCAGCTTTATGCTGTAAATTCTCTGAGTCAAGGATTGTCTCCATTGTGTAGCCTCAACCATCTTGAAAAGCTTAAATAATAGTGCTGCCTAGGTTCATAATCATAGAAAACGGCTGTGTCTCACCAGGGACTGAACAGGGACTCTGAGACCAGGCCGCATACTATCAACCAAAATCTTCTCCTAATGTCAGTGGTAAAAACTTCACAGACTGTAATTCAAACCTAACTTCATAAGGAATGCTTTTGGTACCGATAGTGTCAAATGTTTACACAGAATATGATTTATCTTTGATTACTTGTGCTCATCACCTACTGCATCAAATGTATCCTCCAAGAACAGCTTCCATAGCTACAGAAGCAGCAGCAAAGCCTGAAGTACGCAAGGAAAAAGCATAAGCCAGTGATCGGCTCTTTTGCTCAATCTCTTCTCCTTTACAAACTTCCTGTGTATCCTTGGTCAAGCTACTTACTGACCTTACCTAAAAACAGACACCTTCCCCCAAAAAGAGTTTAGATTGAGTCTAGGCATATTGGTTCTGAATTAGACCCCAAATCTCTTACTTAGCAGTCCAACTCTGGAGAGTTCTGTCCTCACTAGCTGTTTGGCCTATACAAGGCATGTTCCTTACACCATCGGACTTCTGCTATCCAGCTCTGCTTGCATAGCCTGTGCCTGAAGGTGACTGGTGCCAAAAATTTGGAAAAGGAACATGGCAGACTCCTCTGGTTCAACTGGATCTTGTAGAGGTTGTCAGCCTGCCCATCAGAAGCAATGGGGCTCCTCTCAAAATACAATTTTGTAAACATGGTTATTGGAGGAAGAAAAGGTTCAGGGATTGAATCTTGGCCCAGACAGGAGGCGAATACTTTGGCAATAGGGTCTTCACTTTTGACTAAATACAAACAGGACCTAGCTCCCTCCCTCCCTCCCATTGAAGCAGAAAGGAACTACTAAGTAAGGCTTAGGTCTAAATCTAGGCTCTGAGTGCCAGTTAGGTTTAAAAAACTAACCTAATCGGCACTCAGAGCCTAGATTTAGATCTAAGTGAGTCTTCACGATGTACTGACTTCACACAATTTATTAAGTGAAACTCCATAGCTTTTTAACTTGGCCTTTTGGCTAGGAGGGAGTTCTGGTTTCTGCTCCAAGGATTATTCTTCAATCAAAAGGAACAAGTACACAAACCAACCACCATATAACGTAGTATTCATCAGCAGCACCAGTTATATCTTCTGAGACTAGACAGAGATGGAGAAATGACATACATTTTGATTAACAACGTCATCAACAACGTGATCAAGCACATATTTGATTATTTGACTGCATTTAACACTGCAGCACAGAAGCGTGTCCAATAAAAAAATAGAACAAATCCCCACAAGAAAAAAGTTTGGGCTTTAATCTTAAGAAAGAAAAAAAATGAGGTGTGGTAATGGAATGGCAAACTGTGTGTCCAAAGCAAGTTCACTGATTTTTGTCATATACAAAAAGGGAGTTCTGTGGCCACACCTTTAATTTCTTTTCCACATTCAAATAAATGAAGGATTTTCTTCAAGATGACCACTTACCCACCATCCAGTCCATCTCCTCTACGTTATCTCCATATAGGCCATGTCTGCTTCTTCCCAGAAACTTCTCTGTGGTAATGAGAGGGGTGTGAACATGTAAAAGGGAAACAAAGAGAAGAAATGGTCTATGCTTGTTTCTGAAATAAAAGAAAACAATAGTCATTTCTCTGCAAACTGTCACTCAAACTAAAATATAACAGTGACATGGTAGTGACTATCTCAATAAAAATTTTTGATTTTGACATCTTTGCATTTTTGAGGTTTTGGGAGACAGAGGGGATTAAAACACCCCTCAAAGATTTTGGTTGTGTATTAAGACCAAAATAGTAATGGGTCCTTTCTTCCTCTGGTTCCAAATTAGGTATGTGTAGAATGTTAAATAAATAACTAGGTAAGTTCATAGCCAAAAGCCTGACACACTCTCAGAGGCAAATAACGTTAAATAACGTTAAATAAATAACTAGGCCAAAAGCCTGACACACTCTCAGAGGCAAGGAGAATAGGACTCGCTTGCTTAAACTTAAACATGGATGTCACTGAGCATCTGAGACATCCTCATGGAAGAGGCAGATACAACACTGCACCCACAGGGGAACCATATCCCTTTAACATCAGGCCAGGCAGCTTATCCTAGGAACCTGAGATTATCTATGCTCAAAGGTTCACAGAAGAGATTTATCTTCCCCCAATTTCTCTTAAAAAAACCAACCAACCAACCCCTAAACCCTGACAGAAATAGTATAATCTTACTCAGGGATATGCCCAGACTTGACACATGAATACTTTAAAAGACTTAGTGGTTTGTTCAATTCCAGTTGAGGTTACTGATAGAATTGTAAATGAAGGACACCTTTGGAAAACAAAACAAAACTCACTATCACCCTCCTGTTTGTAAAATATTAACTTCATATGACATTTTCTATGACAGTCCATTCATCATTCATCAGGCTAAGATCATTTTTCTGTTCCTACTGGCAGAAGGCCCAGTCCCTGGCCAGGACCCCTTCGTATTAGGTGAACAAAACATAAACACAAAAAGAATCATCTTCCTTTTCCTGAGGAGCTGACAAGCTATGTATAAGACGAAGGACAGCAGTTGGATGCTGACAGGTAGGGGGATGCCAGAAAACAACAAATTACTGGCCAGCATGAGGATGGGTAGTTCAGCATGCCAGCTGCCTAACCTAGTGGTGTATGACACAGTAATCACATTATTTTTAAAAATCCTTAAAACGAGATACAATTTTTGTTGGTTACCTTTCAATGAACGAAACTGCCTCCTTCAGCATATTAGAAGTAGTTTTTTCTAGATCCATCGGTTGTTCAGTGATATCATGGTTTCTCATCAGGATACAGTTCCAGTACTTGGTGAAACCATAGCTGGAGAACCAGGAGATGAAATACAGGAGACCGCAGATGGCCAGACATATAATTATCTTCCATTTTACTGAGAATAAATTGGTAAGTTTTCCAATCAAAAGAGTAAGCACTGCAAGGATGATCATCTGTGTGTAAAGCCAATACGTATCTTGCAAAGACTTGGCCAGTTCAGGGTCATCTGTGCCTTGACACTCATTCAAAAGGGTAAAAGGCATGCCGTAAAAATAATCAAAACCGTGATTTAAAGGATGGTGGCAGTGATCACGGCGGGATTTGCAGTTCACACCCATATGCCACTTCCCTGAAAATATAAACCAAAGATCTTAAATCCAACATTGTTACTCTTGGATGTGTCTGCCTGTATTTCTAATAGGTTGGCTGCACTCCTCAGTTAAGGTGCAGCCAAGGGAGGAGCTGGTGTGGAATGGGGACAGACTCAGGGAGCAATCGTGCATTGGCAGTTTAATCTGCCTAGAACAGCTGGTTTTCCTCACCTATCTCTTAAAATTCCACATAGGGCAATGGTCCAGCTCAGACACCTCCTCGAATAAAAACAAATAGGGTTGCAATAGCTGGTGCTTATTATTTTTCACATGATAAAGTAGCCATTCATTAATGGGTAGCCTGATGGGGAGAAACTGGAGAAACCCTTGTGCCAAAAGAAACAGCTAAGTGCAAAAATATGAACTAATTTAGACACAAGTTCTATCTGACCTTCACAGTCCAAGAACAAATTTCAGGAAGAAGGTGTACATATTGGCTCTGTGTGTCTATATTCATCCTAAAATGAGTAGCAAAAAAAGGCCATTCCAATTATCCAGTACAATTGGGCATATCGGAATATGTCATGCGCTGATAATGAACCTTAATGAAGTCCTGTTACAGAGCAGTGTAGTTATCCTGACACTGAAGGACAGACAGTCTATAACCATGGGCTTAGGGGCTATTAGCTAGACAAATAACTTCTGAGAACTGCTGACCAGCTCTGTGCACGTGTATATGAATGTAGTTTACTGTATAAGCTATACCAGACTGCAGTGAGCTAGGAAAAGTTCACCCCTTTGCACAGGCTTGTGTGAAATCAGTACATCCCCAAGACTCACTTCGATTTAGGAACTAAATGACACCTCAGTGTGACGGAGCCGAGCAGAGGTGTGAAAATCACAGTAATTACAATTAAGCACATGACACCTTTGACTACATCAAAAAGAGTTTAAAAATGAGAGGTGCTTGAAAGACACAGCCTTTAATCGCTGCTCAGGCAAAATTAGCAAAGAGTCAATAGGATTTTCTTTTTTGGACATGTATGCTGATCCAAAACCCACTGAAGTCAATGGAACTCTTTCAGCTTTTTCGGCAGAGTTTCTTTTTGCAGAAAGTAAGGCACTTTTAGAGTCTTAACTGTGATAATGAGCAGGATGCGTAAATAACAGAAAATCTAGCCGCCAGATATAATTAAGACCACTGTGGTGCCTGGGTACCAACTGGCAGACAACGTTTTTCTGCTCGAATAGATCAGTGAATATCTCTGTTGGTTCTTCCTAAAGCAATCTGTACTGGGCAAACAAGATTCTTTCCTTTGCATTTACTTCTGTTTGCAGTGTCCATCTACATATTCCATACATCCTCATTTTGGATTTATCAGATATGCTGTGGGGACACTGGGGCTTTTGGATGGCACTCTAAAAACCCTGCTGATTTTGAAAGTTGTGCACGCAAGAAACTCTAGTTTAACGGATCCTAGACATTTTGGCAAATCAAAATATTTACAGAAGCAGCCTCATTTGAGTAACAAGCAATGAAAAGGAGGCAAGTTACTGTGTCTCATACCTATAAGTGCTGTAGAATAACCTTGCTGGTTTAGAATTCTGGCAAAAGTAGTTTCATTTGGTGGGAGCCCACCAGAACACCCGTTCCAAAAGAGAACCTGCCGTTGAGTGCCGGATGCCATGCCTAGAGAGGAATGACAGTCTTTAAAATAAAACAAGACATATTTCAGATTTTCAGTCTTCTCAGATTGTTCTTTCTAATGAATGGGACTCAGTTGCCTAAGCCTAGTGCCTTTTTATAAGCCATTTAGTACGCCCTGGGATATTCTGGTTGACCCCCAGAACGATGTCTCCTCCAAGTCCCATGTCATTATCTGCTAGTCCAATGCAGATGCCTCAGCTATGCTGGGGTGTCTACAAATGGCACCAAGATGCCTATGCTTGGACATTAGGCTACCTCTTACGACAAAAGTTTATCAAAATATAATGTTAAAAAAAGAAAAGGCGGGGAGGAATAAAAGTTTTATATAGAACAAAAGGCTTACAGAGTCAGGGGTACACACTTCTGAAATGTACAGTTCATGATTACATTTCTCCTTTAGCAAGTCAGAATCACATCAGAGGAGCTACACTGATTATTACTGCCATATGCAGTGGCTGACGTTTTCTGTCATGAATTTTCATGGCTGAAGTAAATCTGTTTTAAAACATTATTGTTGAGAACTATTCCACACTCTGACACATTTCACTATGAAAAAGTTTGCCAGGATATTCAAAATATTACACTTTACTTGATACAATCTTAATACCACTGAACATACAGTGTTTACACAATTTTCTTCTTCATGTTTCTACCTCTGGGTGGTTTATGCTGTTTGGATTTTCATCCATTTCTGTGTTGTCATTTAGCCACATTAAATGTGCTTTATGTGGGGATTTTCTCCATAGAACTCAATCACTAAATCTAGTCATCTTTATTTTTGCCCATCTCACTGAGACCCCAAATCCTTAGATTAACTAGTCTTTAAAATGGTTTGTTTAAGGGGATTTTTAATAGCAATAATGGCTAGACAGACTGCAATGAACTGTTAGGGAGAGGCCCAACCTGATCTGATGGGGTATCTGCCAGTGAGGAAAGCTGCTCTGCTCGGAGTGCAGACAGCAGCTGCAGCAATGTGCTGAGTAAGTCTCACTCCTTCCTTTGCCAGGCCATCAATGTTAGGGGTCCTAAAGAGAAAAATTCCATCTCTGATAAAAATGTATTACACAGAAGTTCGTGGTATCCCGCTCCTCCTAATTTTGTCGAGGACATCACCATCAAATTTACAAAGCTCTCTGTTTATCTACAACTCAACTAGGAAAGCTCTGCGTTATATATTTTTTGAGATACCTTGACTCCTTAGAGATGAATTTTCCATGGATAAATGTGTTCTTAGTAATGACTAAAAAGAAGAAAAAAAAAAAAAAGAAAAAAGAAAAAAAAGTATTTCAGGTCTATCCCATATCAAAAGCTCATGCAACGTAGTTGATTTCATGCAACATGAAAAGATTCCATTAACAGATAGAGCACAACACAATTTCCAAGACTATAATAGGTTAGAGTAAACGTAGGATATATACACAATCAATCCATATACAGACTGATAACTGCACTAGGGATAAATACATCACAGACTGAGTTGTCATTTCATAACAAGCCTACTAGAGTTGTTAGCTGATATTAAATCCCAATCTCAGTCCTTGATATTTCAACCCTGGAGTTGTGGAAACTTATAAGTTATACACATGCCTGACAAATACAGCGCACGGACACATTTGCAAAGTTCTGACTGTACATGCTGAAAAGTCCAAGAAAGTTGCTCAAGCATGCCTGCATAATTATTACTCCAGTAGGAATTACTGTAGAACATTCATTTTGTACATGCTTTGAAAAGAAGTGTATCTAGATAAACTAATCCATTAATAATGAATTTTCTAATACTAAGTGTCATCAGTGTTTTTTTCCACTGAAATTCACCAGGAAGGGATAATTTATTTCGTGGAATACATTCTTACCTTATTGTATCATTACCATAGCAACCCACATCTCCAATACCAAGATCATCAGCCAGTATCAATAAAAAATTGGGTTTTGAAGGATTTGATACACAGGTTCTTGGAAACAAGCATAGAATTAGCCAAATGTTTAGGCAGCTCCTGAAATTAAAAGTAAAGAGGTAATATTACAAAAACATTTGTAAGCTTTACAATAGACTTTAAACTATTATCCTTAAAGTTTTATGAGGACTCAGTATAGATGCAAACAGCTACCAAATACTGCCAGCAGATGGAGCTCCTGAATACTTACAAAAAGTTCTTGAGTTTTCTAAAACCAGTAATATTATTTCTTTTTTTTATTTGCACAGGAATTTTGTGTGTTGAGATTTGCACTGATCTCAGCAGATGTTTCCAGTAGAATGAGTGGTTGGATGCTTGCAAGTCTCCTTGTAGAGGGGCGTAGGACACTCCTGTTAAGGTTCCTGGAATGAGTGGGACAGGAGCATGGAGGTGGCTGGTGTGGAGGCACGCTGGTTACGACGGCAATGCCTTGACTATTGCATCCACTGCACCCAGTGCTACACACAGCATCTGGAAAGTGCTCCTTTAAGGTTGCAGCAACGGGCTTAATCTTGGTTATCTTCCTAGAAGACCCTAAGAATACCTCAGCACATGTCTTAGTTGCTCAAGGTGTTTGCAAGAGGCACCTTACAGATCTTCACGTGAAGTAAGATACATATGCTAGAACATATCTACTGACTGCTCGTTCATTAATAGATACTGCAATGTGATAAGTGTATAGTAAATGGACTATACCATATATTATATATACTCCTAAACCTCCATGTCCTGTAAAAGTAGGATGAAAGGCCTTGAAAAATCAATAGTTCTAAGCCTGTATTAACTGGTCTCAGATTCTCAATGAGTTTCTAAAAAAACCAAAAAAACAAACCCAAAACCAAAACAAAATAACCCCAAAAACCCCACCCACAAAAAAAATAGAGAGCATGAAATCTGTTTAAATTTTCTTAAGCACAACATGTAAAAACCAGAAAAGACCCTCAGTGAATATCTTTTCTTACCATTGTTTTCCCTGGTAAACTTCGTGGCTTCCCCATGTATGAAACAGGTACATAGTTGGTTACATAAATTCTGGTGGAAAAACAAAATATTAAAAAAAAAAAAAAAAAAAAAAATCAGAGCCCAGTAGCTCTGGTGATCCTGTCTGTGAGGTTGGTCATTAACTGCCCTGCATTACCGCAATCGTAGCCAGCCGCAGGCAGCGGCAGTAACAGAGGTGGACTGAACTACTAGGGCTTGATTACGCAGCCCTACATTCCTGAACGTGTGCTTGCAGAGACCTGTTGAACTGACGCTGCAAGGCAGAAAGGGCGCTTCTGGGGCCAGGTACGGTCGGACAGCACAGCATGCAGTTTTGCAAGGTCTGGCCTGTTCCCAGCTGCCGATAACTTCAGGGGGACTTGGGAGTGTTTGGGCAAGGCGGCTAAATGCCCATGGCTTTAAACAAGCGTTAAAGGTGCCAATTACTCAATACACGCACAGAACTGTTGGTGTTCACTGAAAGGAAGGTTTTCACCATTTTACAAACAGGAGGTAATGATAGGCAAAACTAGCATCTCACTCTTTACTTAACCTCAAATTATCTTTAAGGTCCAGGAAAAGAATCTAATCTTTACTGTGAGCTTTGAAACTACAAAAAATGCCTCAAAGAAAAGCCATCCTGGAAAGCAATATTTGCGGTGTAATTCTTAGGGAAGGGACTGTAACATTCTTAGGTCTGGATGCCACCGAGCACATTCAAGGAGGTGTTTCTATCTGAATGTTACTAAAAACTGTCCAGAAACATAAATATCATTATGATTATTTCCTTAAAGGACTCCAAAGCTTAATGTCATTTATAAATTTAGCAAGCCAGTTTTTCTACCTGCCAACTCTATAAACTCAACCTGGACTTTAAAAACCTAGAAATAACCCTTCAGTTTCTAAATATTTATTTTTGTCTGGCAAGGCAAATTTTACGAGTGGAAGCAATTTCCTATGCTTGCTGAAATAGCACAACTAGTCGCTTTCGACAAAGAATGGTTTAGGAAACGCACTCCTTTTCCTTGTGAATGGCCACAGACTAAGGGATCTGCAGAAAATGTTGCACTGGAATCATGCAAACAGTCATGCAGAAGTACATGATAAACCGGCTCCACGGGGACTGACATATGTTCATCTTCATGCTGTACACTGAAGTAAATTAGAGATGACATTCATTCCTTCACTGTGAAAAGAGATAAAAATCTGAAATAACCCGTCCATGCGAAATCCCTACTTTTCCACACTTCTTTCCATTTCCAACCAGCACAAGAACAAAGATGATGTCAGCTCTATTAAGGAACAGATTGAAGCAAATAAGAATATTTACTTTCTGTAACAACTAAAAGCACGTTTGTTAACATAAAGTCACTTCTAAACACAGAGAATTGAAAAGTTCCATCTTCACTAATGAAAGACGTGTGGGTTTTTTCCAAAATCAGCACGTTCTGCAGTGGGAAAAAGTAGCATTTTCTGAGAGAACTTTATTCTGCCTTTTTGGTACATACGAGTGTTACAGTTACCTTGAATGTCTGAGAAATACTAAACTGGCCAGAGCAGAGTATAATCCTGCCCTATGCATTTCAAAGAATGAGCTATAGGATAAAAAAAATTGCAGATGCTATTTTTCTGACCAGGAAAATAATATAAAAAGAGTCAGAACCTGGGGTCCATTGATGATTTTTCCAAGTAACATCTAGGTGCTTGTTTGGCTATGGCTGAGACAATATGGGAAATAATAATTAATAATAAAAAAAAAGCTTGATCTCTATTAGATGTGGAATTTTCCATAGGGTTGATGACACTTCCCCCTCTCTATTGGCAAGATCCTGAAAGACAGTACTGAGAACTCATCCTCCCTGCCCATTGGCTGAGTCAGAGATTAACGGGGAAGCTGCAAGATCCCTCTGGCCCAATGCATCGGCTGTCTGAAGCAGGATCTTGCTGCGAATGCAGACGCCAGAAGCCTAATATCATGCTTTTTAAAACAGGCTGTATTAACGTGAAGCAAAGGACTCGGTACTAGGAGCTCAAATCTTTTATTTGTATGGTAGTGGTGCCTCAGAATCACAGCCTGGCAGCAGTTTCCCCGAAGCCCTGATGAACTACGGCCCTATAGGACAGAGCTGAGGTGATGGTCAGGCACGTGCACGAAGGCATTAACCTGTGAGAAGGAAGAACTGGTCCTTATCGATAATGGGAACATCTTTATGGTGCTTTAACCATGGGGGCAGAGCTCAGCCTTCCCAGCAACTGGCAGGCAGCGTTGTGTTTAAAGGGCTTGGGGTACATCATTAAGCCAAGACTATTGCAATGAAAATGTTCTCAGCCTACGCTGAGTAGCTGAGGATCATCACAGCCCTTGTGAGCTGTGGTGGAGCAAAGGAACCAGACACATCTGGACATCGAAAAAATCCCTTGATTTCCCATGGGCATTGATAAGCTTTCCAAGCTGGTACAACAGCTCTGCTACCTTCCACTTTCTCCCCACAGGTTCATGCAGCACAGCCAGCTGGTGATGGCAAGCACACTGTTACTTAGAGACTTTGTACACCCCCTCAGGAAAGCTGTGAATTGCAAACCAGGGAGGTGCAGTGGTGGTATTAAAAGATATTTGGCAAGCACATTGTTACTTAGACAGAGACTTTGTACACCCCCCTCAGGAAAGCTGTGAATTTCGAACCAGGGAGGTGCAGTGGTGGTATTAAAAGATATTTGGGTCTTCATACCCCTGGCAGTGGCATGATTAAAATTGGTGCTTCCTGATTTTCTGCAAGCCATTTTAGGAGCACTGACCTTACTAAAGGACGAGAAGAAATATGAAACTTGTTTAAAAAAAAAAACAACCCAAACCCCGCAACAATTTAAATATGCATATTCACCATTAAAAAAAAACAAAAAACCACCACCCAAAACCTGCAACAATTTAAATATGCATATTCACCATTTTCTGTTAAGGGCTGATTCCTTCTGAAAGCAGAGCTCTCACTGACATCGCTAGGAGTGTCGTGAACCCAGTACTGGGCCCTAGGGCTTGTCCAGTGTCCTTAGCTGTTAAATGAAAAAAACGACTTAATCCATAAATCTAACATCACCCTCTAGAAATCAGCAGTTACTTACAGAAATCCGAGAAAACATCAGACAGTAATTCCCTCTGTAAGCCAGTATGCCACAATAAATGATCAAGACTAATAAAAAAGGCCAACCCCTTTTAACAATGGGGGTTGGCCTCGTCTCAATTATTCTTCTTGCTCTGAAATCCCTCTTGCTCCTTAGAGGATCAGGACTGCTCTGCACACCAAGACGTGTATGGGAGGAAGCGGGCTGGGACTCGCTCCTTGTCCTCTTACTCTCCCTTCCCCCCAGTCTCCGGCACAGAAACCGCCTGGGATCCCCGCCAGCAACTGCCAGCAAACTGGAACTGCTGTGCAGGTTTTACATGAATTCCAGGCAGAGCACAAAGTCCTTATTCTTGAAATACTGGCACAACATGGCTACTGCCTTTGCTAGATTCCCTACCCAGTTAATTCTGTGCAGATTTGTATAAAGCCTGTCACTGCCCTATTTCAGTGCCTCAAAAGAGATGCTATAAATAGTAACAACACGGCACTCGGAGCCCTGAGGTTTTGTTTCTCCCACCCTACTTTTCCAGCCTTCCAGGCACTATAACAGGACTAGCTTGTCCTTCCCCCTTTCCTTCTGTCATGTTGCCTTTTCTTCTTCATTGCATTTTTAGGAAAGGTAGACCTACCTGTGCTGAAGATATTAATTGCACTTTCTTCCCCCACCCCCAAGAACTGAAAGTTTAGTTATTCCACCTCCCCCCCTTCTTTCAGAACTTAACTCTGTTATAATACACTTTACCCTTCAAAAGGTCTTAAGCAATTAGTTAGAGGAGCTCTCATCTATTTGTTTGTTGACATTTCAGTTCTCCGAGTTACTTGAATACAGTGAATGCTGAATTTAACGCTGTGTTCTAGAGAAGTCAGTAGGAGTCAGTGAGGTGGAAAGATGAAGCAGCTTAAACTAGCAGATTTGTATAATACACGGCAGGAATAATCATGGTTGGAAGCAATTTTTTATTTGTTGATCTCCTCCCACTTACGACTATACTCAGGTATTTTTATAAGATAGAAGTTTTCAAATTGGGCTACTTTTACTCATACCTATTTGACCACACTACTTATTTTGTATGATTACTTAACAGCTTGTGATGCTTCTGGTGCAAAGATTTTTCTTGAAAAAATTGTATTTCTCAAAAATTACATCATGCCTTGGGAAAGATGGATCTTTAAAAGTTGCCAATAACATAAGTACTAATTTCCATCTGTCTTTGATCCAAATTATGACTAAACGTTTCTGTCAGCCTTTCTAGACTGTTTACATCTTTCTCACCATCTTCACTACTGAAGATGTGCCCATGCTGCTGCTGGCATGCCTTAAAAAAAAACAACCAACCAAAAAAAACCCCAAACAAACAACCCCAAACCCCCCCACCTTTAAATTTTTCCCTGATAACAAAACTCTGTCTGGAAGCGGAGGAGGCATCCTGCTAACACAGACCTTGCATCCCGTTCCTCACCACTGCGTTAGTGACCCAATACAGAGGTAACAGCTGTGATTACTTAGTCTTCAACAGAACTAAGCTTTACACCAAGACCCCTTTTTCAAAAAAAAAAAAAAAAAAAAAAAAACCAAAAACAAAAAAACCCCAAACAAACAAAAAAACCTTTGTAACAATGAAGCCGAAAGGAGATTATTTTTATCTCTGCATTTTGAGCCAAGTAGTGTTTCCTCCTCTTCAGCTAACGGTTTTTCACTGCGCCTGGGCACAGGAAGCTGCTGTTTACTCACTGCTGCATAAAGCAAATTCTCTGCCAGCAAAACCTCAATTTTTGAGTCATTGTGTGCTTTATACTGCCACTTTCTAGCTGGCTTTTTGCACATGTCTGAGTACTAAGAGCAAAACACTGGCATTCATATAGTCCTTTCTACCTTTGAGTGAACTTATAGGAGTGAAGAACATAAATATTG